GAAAGAGTGCAGGACCCAGGGGTAACTGTATTCTGTCACAGTCAAACCAGCTACCTTTCTCTGCATGGTCACCGTGGAGAGCTGCAGTCCGGGAGAGTTGGCTGTGCAGACGCTCAATTTCTGCATCTTTCAGGGCCACCTGCTCTTGCAGCTGGGCTACCTCTGCCTGGAATAAAACAGAAAACCCACACCAGCTTAGAGGGACTATCAAAGCATAATGAAGTGCCTTGAGTCAGAGCCTGGAGCCAATGGGTCCTAGGACGTGGTAGGAAAATAGAAGCAGAGGTGCCAGAGGTGGGCGGTTAGAGGTGCACACTACCCTCCCCACCAGGTGGAGCTTTGCCAAATAAACTCATTTTTCTTGGCCATTCTGGCTCTGCCCACAGCTCTGGCTGTCCACCTGCTCTTCTCCTGCATCCTCCTACCCGATCAGGCTCTTCCCCTCCCCTGTGCTCTGTGATTGAAACACCACAGAGGTCAGAGGAGCTGGGATTGTGTATGATGGGAAGGCGCCCTTGGTCCAGGGATGAATACTCTTTCTAAAAGCGGTCTTCCTTCTCCCAAAATAGTCATGCAACATGTTTGTACACCATTGCAACAAGTGCACTCATCTTTCACTTTTCTACCCCACGTAGGAAATACAGTGGAAATCAAATTAGTACTGGTAGACAAAGAGTGAGCCAAGAGTCCCCTCCCTCAAACACTACCCTGCCCTCTGTGTATAGCCACTGCCTCTGTCCAACTCCCAGGCACCTGTGCATGCTCAACCACCCATACAAGCATTCTAGGTGTGCTGAGCACACCTACTTACTTTTGCAAATAAAGCAGGTAAGTACAGCCACACCAGTACTCACCCACATTCATATATGTACCCACAAGGCAGCTGCATTGGGTGATTCCCATGTTTCTACTAAAGAGAGCAGATTGAATTTCACACCTAATTGTAAGTGTGCTTGTCATGCCTTCCAACACTCATCAGAAGATCAGAACTGTGTAGGTCCCACCCCAAGAGGCACATTGGCTTTAGAGCCAAACAAACTTGGATTCTCTCATTTCCTATTGGGTGATCTTGGGCAAGATCCTTTCTGAGTCTTGGCTTATCTATAAAATGGGGGGAAATAGCATTTACCTTATGGGGCTATAGTGAGGATTAAATAAGATAATGTTTATGAATAACATAGCTTAATGCTTAGCAGATAGTAAGTGTTCGATAAATTCTATTATTGCTGCTCTCATCCTATTCTTTCCCTTATGAATAACTAGCTAGTTCTCTGAGCATCAAAACAGATTAAGAGGTTGAGAACTGATCCCCGAGCTAGACAATGGAGCACACAGCCAGTTCTACTCTGGCTACACCCCTTCCCATGTGGGAATACAATTGCACCCTGCCTCCATTCCTCAAGGTTAATCTTTGAACAACTCCAAGTAGCCAAATGAGCATCGGTCCTGTTGGTAGCTCTTCTTCCAAACAGACTTTGTGCTCAGCTGCAGGACATGTTAACTAAGCACCCACCCTGCCCTGGCCCTTGTGCTTGATACTTTTTTACATCAAACCTCCCACAGTCCCCATAGGAAACCATGGGACCCTGTATGTCCCTGGGGGAAAAACAGGAGTGATGCAGGATGGCCACATCTCAGAGCTATTTAGGAACCAGGCAAGGATGTAATCCTCGCCTGCTTCCAAGCCAGGGCCCCACCCACTGCAGCCTGTCTGCTTCTAAGCTAATAGGACAAATGAGGGCCACTCTTACACGGTTTAGACAAACCTTCCCTAACATCCCCAAAATGGGATAGAGATGATCATGTAAGGAAAAAAGGGCTGGCAGGGGGTGGAGTTTCCTTACTCCAAAGTTCCCCATGGAGCACTGGCCCTCTGCTCCTTTCCACCTACAGAGACAGAGTCACGTCCAGCTGTGCTAAACTGCTTGCTGAGACTCAAAGCCACGCAGCAGCATTTCATAGCTCACTCAGAGCCACGTGTCCATGGGCTTACAATTAATGGTGACAGGGCTTCTGGAAAGCTTACCCTTGGGACTCTTACTCCAAATGCCTTTCACTTCTGCAAGGGCCAGACTATTCTTGGAAGATGGTCTCTAAACCTTTCTTAAACCTCTCCATACCATTTCTTCCTTTCTTTGCAGACAGGGTAAGAGCTGGTCTCTGTTAGGAATCTGGATACCTGATGCTTGTCTGTGGGCACCACAGAGGACATCAATGATGTGGGCTTGTTGAGGCAGAGCCCAGCACCTGGCACAATGAGGTCCCTTCTCTCTGAAGCCTGCCTCTGGGTGAGGTCATCTGTTTAAAACCTTACAAACCAAGTGGCTGGGCCTAACCTCCTGTGTGTCAATTTCTACACAATAGGCCAGAAATGACAGGTGCCCTGTTATCTTTTGAGTGGTACCTATCCCCACAGCTGGGAAGTCAATAATAGCCCTGAGGCCCTCTACTTGACCACAAGGCCAGAGCATGCTGTTGCTAGAGTTGGTATCAAGCAGAGGTGGGCACTCTGGTTCTCAGCAAGTGCTGGGCCTCATTAAACCCAGGGACCATGCCCTACTGCCACTGTACTGGAAGATAAATCACCTTTAGGGACAGAGCAGCTTTATACAGAACAATGAAGAACTTTCAAAACCACCGAAAGTTTTTACTACAGGGAATCAGGATGACATAGGGAAAAGAGCATGAGTTTTGGAATGACATAGAGCCAGATCTGAACCTTACCTGGTCACTCTGAGCCTGAATTTCCTTATCAGCAAAATAAGGATAATAAGTCAATAGACCTAACCAGGGTATTTTATGAATCAGATGAGAAAAAGTGTGCAAAGGGCTTGGTATATTCTGGCACATACGAGGTGCCCGCACCTGGTAGTTATTAAATAACCCTTGGTATCTCAAAGGTCCACATGCCAAGGCAAAGAGCTTAGGTAATTTAAAAAGAAAATTACCTAAAAATGTTTGGTTTCACAAGAGAAGGTGGTATGTACAACTTCAAAGTTTTCACCAAGATGGGATTCGCTTGAGTGGAACATTATGATGGAAGGTTCTGAGCTATTTGAGAAAAATAGTGTCCCTACAACCTGAGACTGTGAAGCATAGTGCATACAAAGGTACAACTAGATAAAGACAGAGCAGTAGATAAATGGATCTGGGCTGCCTAGGGTTAGTGCTGACTAGCACTAAGATTTTAGGAAAGTTGCTTAGGCACTCTGTGCCTCAGTTTTCTCATATGTAAAATGGTTAAGCAACTATTGTACATTCGTACAATAGAACATTATATAGATTATAGTTGTCAAAATCGTGTTCAGAGTTTCCTTTTTATATAAGCATGATATGAAATTGTATATAAATTATCAGCACGAGAGAGAGAGAGAGAGAGAGAATGAATGAGAATGAACGACACCAAGACCCTCACAAGTAAAGTTCCTGGAAGGAAATATTAATAGTGGTAGCTCCTGGGTGGTATGTGAATTATTTTTATTCCTCTGATTTCATGATTTAAAAATTCTCCATAATGAATATTATTGATTTTATAATCATGAAAAGTTAACTTACAGAAAAGAATAAAAGTACAAAAGAGTAGTTAAGAAAACTCCAAGTGAAAACGAAAATGCCTACAGGGGTCATGTAGTAACACCAGTAGGTGGCGCTGCAGACACCTTAGTAAAATGGCAGGTGCGCGCCCCGCCCAGAGGCAGCCCCGCCCAGAGGCAGCCCAGCCCAGAGGCAGCCCAGCCCAGGCTCCCTCACTCAGGAACACTGCTCCAGGGTTGTGAGAGCTTCCTTCCCCACATCCCTAACTCTGTATTTCAATGCGAAATTTCCTAATATTTAAGTGACAAATAATTCCACATCTTTAAATACAATGTTCAGGCCAAAAAATTAATTGGTGGGCTGAATCCAACCCACTCATTTTAATTTCTGCATTTCAACTATTAGAGGAAATAAAGGAAGAAACCTAGGAGGGAGGGAAGAAAGCTATCTCACAAAAGAAATTAACCTTGGTATCCTTTAAATGGCAAACACCCCAGTTCAATAGAAACATTATTTGATTTAAAAAAAAAAAAAAATCAAAGTATATATCATTTGTTTAGGAATACATTCATTGCCAAAAATAAAGCATGCCTATTTTTACTTATTAATTAATTAATTAATTAATTTATTTACTTACTTATTTTCAGGATAATCCATTTATATTTTTTAATAATTAAAAAAATTTTTTCAATTACCGTGGACATACTGTATTATATTAGTTTCAAGTGTACGACATGGTGATTAGATATTTATATATGCTTCAAAGTGATCACCCCAATAAATGTAGTAAAGAATGCCTATTTTTATTATTTATTTGTTTGTTTGTTTATTTTTAAGTTTAAAAAAATGCCTATTTTTAAAAACTAATTATTAGAGAGATTACTAAACTTAAAGTGGTGTAGCTAATATAATGTTGGCCTTAATCCACCTTAGGACTCATCACTTTTTCACTTTCTCATTCACTCACTCACTCACCTCCCTTCTTGGCCCGATGTCAGCTGGTGGTGCTACAGGACTCAGCAAGAGGAAGGAAACTTACTTCAGTATCTCATAATCTCACAGGCTTTCCCCATGAGAAGAGCCCTCCTGGATCAAAGCTGTCTGCTGCACAAGCTGGCCCACTGTGCACACAGTATGGTCGGATTGCATTTTTCCATTGTAGGCTGCTGCAAACCTCAAGTTTGAACACAGAAATTCCCCACTGGGCATCAATGCCTCCCCGTAAGCATCAGAACCGCTTTTTACCTTAGTGGCCTTCAGCTTCCACTCATACTGATTCCTTTCATTTTCCAACTCTTCCACCTTGATTTTGAGGTGCCTGAGCTCTTGCAGTAACTCCTAGAGAGAAGAGGGAGAAAGACAAAATTCTGATGGTTACCAAGCAGGACATTTCCTAGATCTACAGCCCTGGTTAAGCTCATGCACAGAGGATGCGAGGGGCAGGAACAACCACGTCATGCTCCACACTGTGGCTCAAATCTTTAAACATGGTCTTTTTTCAGGAAAAGCTGTGTGGCCATTTAAAAACAAAGGCCAGGGAGTTCTTGACATAAGAAAAAGAAAACATTCTGTTTATTTTTTAGAACTTGTTTTACCTGTCCCTTTCTGACATCCACACCCTCTGCAGGGTGTACCCACATCATGGACATGTTGTGTAGGAGGGAGGACAGGAAAGGCTTTGGAGTGAAGTAAACAGAGATGTGGAAATGAGGAAGCTTCTTACAAAGTAGTGGGAAGCAGGTTAATTGGGGTCATCTCCTTGTGCTGAGGGTTGAGGAACCCAGAGAAGGGATCTCTGATCCTGAAAGCCTTCATAGAGGAAGTGACAGCCAGCAGGATGGAAATAAAACACTAAATGAACAAATGCTAAGTACCAAATGTAGAGTCCAGTCTGAGTGCTCCAGTTCAGAGGAGGGAGCTGGTTTGAAGAAAGGAGGGAGGGAGAAGGCATCTAGGGAGAGGACAGAAGACGAGGTTGGGAAGATAAGGTTGGGCCCTATTGAAAAAGCTTTTGGATGAAAATATAAAGAGTTCTAATGCCACTCTTTAGATAGCGGGGAGTCAATGAAGGTTGCTGAGTGGGGAAGTGATATATAAACAACTTGCTCATGGTGGATCTGGAATTCAAGCCTGTATCTTTGGACTCCAGGGCCCCTACTTTCTAAACTACCCCTTCAGTAAAGACGATACCACCTAAGCACCCTTGTTCCAAATGAAGGTTCCTTTAACAGACAATTGGTCTTGCTGACTGGTTCCTATCAGAAAAATTAGCATAAAAGTGATCAATCGCTTCCATAGACTTTCTGAACTCTACTCATCTAACAAACTTCCTACTTAACCTGTCCAGATGGATGGAGTGCAGGCGTCTCACAACTGTAGTGGTCCAAGCAGGACTCTTAATCCCCCTCTTAGATATTCCTGTCTCATTAAACGGCAGCCCCATCCACCTAATTGCCTGTGCAAAGCCTGAGATCCGTCCTTGGTATCTCCGTCTCCCTTTCCCTCTACACATGTAATTCATCCCTAAGCCTTGTTAACTCTGCCTCCAAGAAAATAACGTGAATCTCTCATTCTCTCCAACTCTACCCCACTACTCTGGTCTAGCACTTCATGTTGAAAGCCTGCACAGTCTCTTCATTGGTTGCTCTGTCATTTTTCCTTCTTGAATCCACCGATTCCCACGACATCCAGGGGAACAATACAATTAAAACACAAATCTGATCCCGGCACTCCCTGCTCCTTAAAGCTTATAAACTTTAACCCATGACCAACAAAGTCTGGCCTGACCCAGTGCCCTGTCTGCCTCTCGTATTACTCTCTCTCCCTGGTTATGCTCCAGTCACACTGAATACTTTTAGTTCCTCTTCCTGACATGGGCCTTCACACCTGGGCCTCTGTCTGGAACTGTTTGCTGGGTTACTTCCTGCCCATCCGTCATGGCTCACTGAAGCTTTGCTATCCCAACCTCCACACTTTATCAGGTCCCCCTGCTATAGTCTCTCATGGCATCTTGTATAACTGCTACATCATTTGTAATTAAACATTTACTGGTATAACTGCTAATGGCTAGTTCTCCTATATTGTTAATTCCAGGAGTTTTGCTAACCTTTGGCACATAGTAGGTATGCATTATTTCTTGATGAATGAACACGTGAAATTCAAGTCATCGTTTAATTGGCCTGGAGCTCTTTGCATTCTGTGTCAATCCACCAGAAAGTGATGTCGCTTATACTTGAATTTTGTAGTGTATAATTTATTAAGATTTTCTTACAGTTGAGATGAGCATTTGTTGATGCTCATTAAAAAAAAAGTCTTCCAAGCTAAGGTTATAGCATCCAGGATGTGCAGCATTAGATTTCTAGGCTTGTTGTGGCTTGCGGCTGATTCAGGAACATTCTCTGAAAACATTTCTGGCCCTACCTGAGGAGCAGCAGGCCTGCTGACAAGAGAACCAGAAGTGTGCAGGTTACTTATTGCCTGAGGGGCTGTGACTATGGGGACACAGAGTATGATCTCCAGATTCTTGTAATCTCTTTAGCACATCCTTTTTCTAAGCTATTTGTTGCCCATCATCCGCTATAAACACCAGTGCAAATTTTGACTTCTTTTAGAAGTCTTTCTGGGGTAACCCACTCAACACAGGGCATGCCCCAGCACCCTCTCAGAGCTTCCCTATCCAAATCTATACTTACATCTTGACTCTCATTTTTTCCCCCATATCTTTCAATGTAGGAGAAAATCTGCACTGAGCACTTCCCCTAATGTCTAAGTCTAGGTAGAGATTTCAATATGGTCCATAGTTGAATATGGATCATGGTGACTTCCTCCAGAGCTGAGGCAGACCCTCTGCAGTGCTCAGGGAGACTGTGACCTTGACCTTCCCTTGAGCTTCCATGTCCTCTGACAGTGGACTTTGGAAGTACAGTCTCATTTCTGTGTAGGCACAAGCACCACGCCTCACCCAGGTCACACAGGACCTGGTCACACCAATGTGGGGGGTCAAGTCCAGAATCTAGGTCAGATACACCAGAGGGCCCAGAGGTTGTGAAATCCCTCTAATGAGATTATGTGGGAAAATTTTTCTGAAAATTCCGATAATGACTTAATCACTATAGCAAATGGAAACTTGTGATCTGTTTTCTCACTGGGATAAACCTCTTTAAAAATAGACTTGAAAGGGTTCTTTCATGATGCTATCTTTTTCTTCCTCTAATAAAAAAATCATGGGAGATGAAACTTCATTTATTCTCCCAGCCCATAAGCAAGAATCAGTGTCTGAATTGTACCTGGGCAGGGGAATCCTGAGGCTTCCTTTTGCACAAATGCCCCATCACTGAAGGCGCTGGACACACCTCATCCCCAGTCCTGAGGGAGATGAGCGCCACCACCTGTCGCAGGGTTGGCCTCACCTGCTCAGACTCTGCTCAATGAGGATCACAGAGCTAACTCCCACTAGGGGAGTGAGTGAGTCCCAAGCTCTGCCCAGAGAAAACAACAGATCCCTGTTAAGCCACCGCACTCTGTTCTGGTTAGGACAAAGCCCAGCCCCTCCGCCAATGGAATGCCCAACACACACATGCTCTGATATACTTAAGTATGGTTCCTACAGGTGACCCCTCCCAACGGGCACAGTCCTGGCTGCAGGCCTGGGGCTCGGCCACACCGTCGCCAGCCGCCACCTCCTCAGGGTGGTCCCTACTGAGTAAGAGGCGCTCTTGAATCTGCCTGTGGATGTCCAGCTGCAGCCTACACATCTGCTCCTGCAGCTCACTGATCACATTCAGAACCGACTGTAGGAAGGGAGAGAAAGGAGAAAAGGCACTCAGCGTCAGTCAGCTCTCAGGCGCCAAAGTCCCTATGGGAGCAGCCCAGATGGAGGGAAGCGAGCAGAGGATGAGCAACAGGTAGCACCCAGCAATCATGATCTCTGACCACCTGCTGTCTTCGCAGGAACCAAAACACATGGCATTTTTCCTGAGGCCTGCCCCATCCCCAGGCCTGTCTTGCAGTTTGAACAAACCCCCAAACTTCTTTGTGCCATCCTGGGGGACTATCCTTGCTTATCGACATCTGAGGAACTGACTGTAGCATCAGCAGAGACAGGAGCTACAGTGCCCATGCTTCACATGCCAACTGTCTCCAAAACGCGTGCAGGTAACACACTGCACACGGCACACGCCACACACCACACTCATGCATGCTAATGTGTCCCCAACCCTAAACTCTCCCTCACATTCTATATACAAAACCTTACTCCTTCACTTCCCTCTCCAAACCTGACCCTTTTGTAGCCTCAAGAACATTTTGGCCTTTTATGGCAACTTTGAAAAATACCTGCAACCCTTGGATTTCATATCTACTCAATTCTGAACCCATATTACTAGCAGCTCTCCTGGGCTTTCCTTTATTGACTCCACATTTAGTTTCATTCTGCAAAGAGCCAAGGCCATAGTAGCCAATGGGGCTTGCAGGTGAGTGGGGAGAGACACACAAAATAACAATCACAAACAGACTGTACGCACTACAGTCAAGAAAACCACCAGTCTTTCAGGGAGCAACAAGCGACTAATTCTGTCTGAGTCAAAAGGAAGGGATAGGACAAGTCTAAGTGATGCCAAGTAGCATTCAAGACCCCTTGCCTGGGTGCAGGAGTACGTGAGATGAAGGATCATGGCCTGGGGTACAGATGATAGTGCCACTTGTGGTGATAAGGAACTCAGAAGTTGGGGAGGACTCCGAAAGTTGGGGAGGACTATGAATAGCCTATGTGGGTCACGGATAGGGATTTAAGGAGACAGTTGGCAATAGAGTAGAATGGAGGCGGGGCAGCCAATTAGACCGTTTAGCCCCTCTCTGCCCACCTTTACTGATATTCTAAGCACTGGCATCAGGCATTTAGAGGTCTACCCACTGGCACCATGGGAACTGCCCAGTCATGCTAGAAAGAGATTATCCATTAATAGTGGGAGTATTGTCTAAAAGAAGAAAAGCTCCCAGTCCATCTTGTTCTTTTCCAATGTAGAAGAGAAACTGATGGTCTGGGTGGCAGTTTGGGACTGAAAGGGCACTGAGCTAAGTCTCCTACACCAGCCTGCTCTCCTCTCTGGTGATGCCATTTCGACTGGGAGAGCTACAATGTAGTCATTGATGCCATAAGCAGGTCCCTGGCCTCCCAGCCGCTTTCCCCTTGAGTTAACTCACCTGATTTAACCCACAGACAGCCCCGGTTGTCTTCCCCCGGGGTCATCTGTCTAACAAGTTATTTCTCTATGGAGACCAGAGGATTGGGTTAAAAACTCAAGGTGACCCTTGGGGGCCTGAGTAAGCACTCTGGACCC